AAAAAAAAAACGAACAACCTCCTTAATCAAAGTAGACAATAGCATAAAATAAAAAAAATAATTCTTCTCCTTAATCAAAATAGACAATAGCATAAATAAAAAAATAGTTCTTCCTAAAACTTTTCCATCACAATTAATCACCAATGTTTATTAAAAATTATCTAGTTAACAAAAGGAAAGTGTCAGTTATAAACAATTATCATTCAAGATGAGATTACCGTCGTGTAATATATCATCATAGAGCATCTCTGCGTCGCGCCGGCAGCGGCCGACTGGGGCGAATCTTTTCGCTCCTGGGCGCCTCCGTGACCGCTCAGATGGCAATGATCCGGACAGCCGTGTCTGCATATCTCCACCTGTGCAATGTTTGAAAAGATTTATTGCGTTAGCAAGCTGTTTGCGATTCTCTATGTGAGGCCCTTAATCACTCTGCATCGTCGGATAATTCATGCCATACGTTTATCTATTCACATGATAAGACCTAACAACAAAAAGCGCCCGCGGACTGCAATACGTGCCAAACGTTTCTTGAACCGTTTTTGAAGCTCATTCATCACCACACTACAGTTTGCAAATTGAAAATCTAATGTCTCACGAAGTTGGTAATAGTCATATGAAACGTTTTAGAATCTTCATTCAATTTTGTACCATTGTTATATAGATTTGAAAAATATTTATTATTTGCAGCCAAATAATCGGAATAAAAAACAATGAATAAAAATAATAAATAATCAACTTCCCGTGTGGGCCAAAAATTCGGAAATTAAATTTTTTGCATATCTTCACGTTTTGAAGGTTTCTGAACATTTTGGCACACCGATCAACGAATAGAATGGTTAAAAAAACATTCGATTTCTATTGATAGAGAGATGTGCTGATTAGTTTTTGGCAAAAAGCAGGTCTACCCGTTACGGAGATACAGAGCAAAGAGCGCAGAAAATAGAAATCAAGATTCTCTCAAACTATTTGTATAATAGGATAAATCCTGCGAATTAGTGACTATGGAAGAACCGAACAATAATTGGACACAACTAGCTTTATCAGTGGTAACCATTCCGTCGCCAATATTAAAGAATTGTGTTAAAAAGTTTCAACCAATAGAGCAGGTAATTTTAGTCTTTCATAAACTCAAAAAAATCTTGATTGGAATTGAGTAAAAAAATTCACAAAACAGACTATAATTGATAAGTCATTGAGCTAGATGAACAAAAGAACTACTACTGAAATGATTGTTATGAAACAGGAAAATGTGGTAGTAGGGTGGAAAATTTGGAGTTTGAAATGACTATTATGAAATAGACATATGTGGTAGGAGGATCAAAATATAGAGTTGTATATATTTTTCAATTCCACATCATAAAGAATTAAAATAAAAAAATTGCTACTAAAATTAAAAAAAAAGTGTTAGGGGTGGACAACCCTTGATAAAAATAAATTGTTTTTTGGAGTAAAATATGTAGGCTTTTATATGAACTCAGTGAATTTGAAATAAAAATGAGTGCAAAACATTCACTGAGTGAAAGCAGGACAAATGACTATTACGAAACAGGGGTTTGAGGTAAGGGAGTAAAAAATTAAGGCCATATGTGTCTTCAAATACACATTATAAAAAAATTAAAATTAAAGTAATAATTTAGTGCAAAAATAAAATAAAACTTTTTTCAGTTAAATTTAAGCTTTTCATGAGTTCAAGAAAATCTTAATTAAAATTCGGTAAAAAACATTTATTTACTGCAAAAGGATGAAAAATTATTCGATTACCAAATTGACTATTACAAAATAGGCATTTGTAGTAAAATTTAGGGCTGCATGTGCCTTTTATATACCAAATAAAAAAATAAAATAAAAGAAATTGGTCGATAATTTACAAAAAATCTGAAGGATGGCGAATCACCAAGGATGGTATAAAAATAGATGTTGGATTCTCAGTCATGCTGAATATGTTGATAGAATTTAATAAAAATCTGTCGAAGGAGGATACCAATATCATGGTATACAAAATTTAAAAGAAATCCATAAATTTTGCATGAAATTTCATGCAAAATTTATGAAGTTCTTTTTCCTCAACCTTAATGTATATATATATATATATATATATATATATATATATATATATATATAAGAGTTGGCTTTTCATATCCGAAGCCGGATCGGTTAGGATTTGACTCCGCTTCACCGAGGAGTTATATCCGCTTAACAACTCCGACAACTTCGAAACGTAATACTCGACTCAAATGTGTTCTATAGTGAGCCTCAGAAAATTTTTCAAACATTTTTTCGTATTATTTTAAAAAATACTAATTCAATATGCATACAAAGCTCAAATAGTGCATTTCAATATGCATACAAATCTCAAATAGTGTGCCAAAATTGAGACGATAAAAACATTAAAATATCAGGGTAAATCGTTTGCTATTAGGGGTCCACTAAGCAATTAGGTGACTAGATGATTTATGAATAAATAAATGCCAATATAATAATAATTTAAACAAATTTACCAATAAATGTCAGAGAACTTCACTCAGATTTACTCCGAGGGAAGTGTTATATCATCGAATATAACTCACTTCGGAGTCACTCAACTCTAATGTATATAACCCATTGGTTATTATAGGGTGGTTTCTTACCCCAAGCCGTATGGTGTGCGAGCAGTTTCCTGCCGATAAAATACCATTACTTTTACAAATCGAAACATACCTTGCATTTGATGTGAACGCTCAGGGCATCGGGAAACTTGAACGCGTGGAAAAAGGCGTACGTTATGACTGAGGCGCGGTCGTCGGACGCCCGCGTCTTCAGGAATCGCGAGATCATCTTCGGGCGCAGTACGCAGCCCGCCTCGTCGGACAGATGGATGACGTGCCCGGCGCCGTCTGAAGCCACGCACGACTTCACTCGCATGTCGAACTCGCCTGGTGACGATTCATTTTAGTTAGATACACGTTTTAGATTTAGATTGTTTCAATATATATATACTATATATACTCTTTAAATGGCTGTAACTCAAAAACTATTTAAGGGGCACAACTAGTGTAACCGTCTAAAAAAGGTGATTTTTGGAAATTTATATTAAAAAAAACTACATTATCAATCATTTCAAAATTTTAGGAATATATTTATACATGTTTTAAGAATACATAGTAAAATTTTTGAAGAAAAAAATTAAATATTTTTTAAGTTATCGTCGATCTCCAACGGCGCGACAAAAAAAAAACGCCCTTAAATGCTGCAGTGATTCCGGCCTTTTACGTGGATGAAATAAAAAAAAAATAATTCTTGTTAAACTAGATAATATTATCTGTAAAATGAACTACGATAAAAAAAATAATTGACAAAATGGCGGCGTTTTAAAAAAAAAGTCAAATTTTACCTAAAATTTTGGTCGTTTTTGGACTAACATATAATATTTTACCTAAAATGTTGGTCGTTTTTGGACTGCCAAAATTCGATTTTGGAGCCGATCAAAAAATCGATAGTTCATTTTACGGAGAACTATATATAGAATATGTAAAAAAATTTAATAACAATCGGATCGTTGTTTTTGAGTAATCGCTGCAGCAAATTCGGGAAATGCTGTTTCGAGAAAAACACGTTTAAAGATAAAATGATCGTTGTACTATATACTATATGTATACTTTTTAAATGGCTGTAAGTCAAAAACTATTTAAGATATCGATTTAAAATTTTGGTATGTTATTTTTAAAGCTATAACCTATCGAAATATGGAAAAATTAAAAAGTCGATTTTTTGAAAATTTCACACTAGTTGAGCCCCTTTATGCCACGAAAACATGACAAAATAAAAAAATATTTATCATATCAAAATTTATACTGTAAAAATTTATTTTATTTCTTACCTCTGTAATCGTTGATGGCTACGACAAGTGATAAAGTTGAACCAAGAGGTACAATGCCACTGACAGGTGGAGCCCATGGTCCTTTACCGTGCTGGATTTCCATCCAACAATCCACATTATCGCCTAAACAATATTATATGTTAATTATAAACAACCAATTAATTAACTTCCCGTAGGGTAAGTTATAGTAATCGCAAAAAAATCAAAAATGAAAATTTTTGCATTTCTCGACGTTTCAAAGGTTTCTGAATATTTTGGCATACCTTAGAAAAAATGGATGTATGTGTGTGTGTGTGTTCGGATACAAATTTTCGTCGACGATTTCAAGAACACCCATCAACCGATTTCAATAATTTAAAAAACATTCGATTCGTACTGATAAGGAGACGTGCTGATTAGTTTTTAGTGGAGGCAGCTCTAGCCGTTCCGAAGATACGGGGCAAAAAGTGCCAAAAACGGTAACACGGTTTTTAAGAGAACGGAGCGTCCGATTGTAAAAATTCAAAAACCATTTTACTTGTATTGACAAGATGAAGAATTGATCAAATTTTCATGAAGGCAGGTCTAGCGGTTTCGGAAATCTAGTAAAAAAAGTAAACAAAATGCCATTTACCGGTCAAAAATGATCATTAGACATATGCGCATCAAACTATCAGATATTTTATAGAGATTTTTACAATAAGTATGAAATTTGTTAACATTTCTATCGGTTCCGTACCAATGTTAATTTAGACGGCAACGCGGCGCTTACGCGCTTTGATATTTCGTCTCTATACAGTTAAAGCAGTACGATTGCTTTGAAAAAAAGTTCAGAATTTCCAAACTATGCCAAAATGAAGAAAACTTTTTTTTCGAACATTTTTTTTTGTTTCTCAAAAATCTAATTTTTTCAAAGTATTTTTTTTTTTCAAAAATGTTAATCGCTTTTGAAAAAATAATAATTTTTGGTACGGAAAGTTCCAGCAATTTGTCTTAAGGCACGATGCCTTAATTGTCTTAAGATAGAATTTCACTTACAGCTAGTTTGCTTGCTTTATTTTAAGTATTACCTCTGAAATCCAGTTGGATGATGTCCAAATCTGCGATGACCATTGGTGGTTTTGAAGCAGTTTTTTCATAATCATTAAACCACTCACAACGAAGTCGCTTTGCTTCGTCCCATACTTCCAGTAAGTCTTTATCATACTGCACGACAACCTGTGGGAAGATGGCACATAGAATGAAGTTCTGACAACGTATATTAAAATGTAATAGGAGGGCTAGTGATCATAAAAAACCTTCATTTTGATCAAAGTTATAATATAATTATAATAGCTATATAAACTAAGCAAATGTTTTTCTTACTTAATACTAATTATATAAAGCAAAATTTTAACATATTTTCGAATTAACATTTATATAGAAACTTTTTTGTAGATTTTTTAAAATTTTTATGTTATCATATTTTTGTCAGCAAATACTGCGAATACAGTTAATTGGTCATAATTGGATTGGACAACTACTGGGTTGCCATCCATTGAAAAATTCATATACCAAAAGTGAGAATAATTACTGAATGTCCTAAGTGCGACAGATTGTAATTAAAATAAAAAAAATGAATAGATAAATATGTTATCATATTGTAATTGAAAACCTGAAATAAACAAGTGTTTGAACAGACATCCATTCTCATAATAGAAAAAAAGCTAAATTATGAATTATTACCAAAAAAAAAACTTTTTTCCAAGTATGTGCTTTTTGTATTATTTGTGTTAATAATTTGTTTTATTTACTCAAGAAGAGTCAAATTGGGCCTCTTAACTTATATTAGTTATAATTAATAGATTTTTACACTTGCATTATATTTAATTGACTTCTATACGTATAGAGTCCCAATTTGACTCTTCTTCAGCGTTCTTCACTAAATTATTAAAACACGAAAACCACATTCAATGAAAAAAATATTTGCGTAACAGTCATGTTAGTGAAAAGGAATAAAGAGCATATCATTTGCAAAAAATTACGAATGACGTCCATTCTGACCAATTTCGTAAAAAAGCAATGCCCAAAATGGGTTATTTTCAATTGGAAATATATTTTCGATCTATATTCTCAAGTGAAAATAGACATCGCTACTACACGATAGCAAGCTTAACTACTACACCGTGAAACATTATATATATATATATATATATATATATATATATATATATATAATAGGTTGTCAAATATCTCCCTTCCGCCTTTTTGTATTATAAACCAAGAGCAAAAAAGCGGAAGGGAGATATTTGACAACCTATATATATATATATATATATATATATATATATATATATATATATATAGATATATATATATTAGGGTGGTCCTTAATATGGACATTTTCGAATTTCCTTGCTCCTAAGGGCTCAAATGATTCAAAATTGATCAAAAACAATTTTCTGAAAGTTTTAGCTCTTAATATTAACTTTTAGATAGTGCGCAATTCAATCAAACTTCGTATGAAAATAGCATAAAAATTTTTGAAAAATAAAAAAAAAGTTTTAGGTATAACTTAGCGACAAATGAATTAAAAGTGAAAATTCATGTCATTTTTTATTGAAAATTCGATGCTCTGCAAAATTTTTGAAAATATTTTCATGCTAACTTTGATTGAATTGCGCTCTATCTAAAAGACAATATTAAGAGCTAAAACTTTCAGAGAATTATTTTTTATCAATTTGGAACCATTTGAGAAATTCGAAAATGTCTATATTAACCACTCTAATATATATATATAAATTATAAAACAATTAAAAGCTTCCTTTTCTCTTTTATGACAATTTTTATAAAAATGCATTAGAAATGATTTTATTAAATGTATTATTAAGATGTATAAAATAATTATTAGTGCAATAATAGCTATTGTTATAATAATTAGTATAATAATTATTATGACAAGAGGCAAATTTATTAAAAAAAAACAATCAAACTAGCACTGTAAACGAGGAAATTGATGCACATGTACATAGCATATACACATATGTACTTACAAGTATAAACAGTAAATTTATTGCCTGATATTATTTACTGTCAATAATTACTGAACAGACTTACAGTATTCTCATAGAACTGGCCATTGAGATCTGGCTTCGTACCGCACCTGGCGTACGCAATTCTGAATGAAAAGAACGTTTGACCGGTAGACGGTGGGACGTACACGCAGCGTGGATCCGCGTGCTGACCTATGATTCCAATGAAACAAAAACATATTAGAATAATAATACATAATATATATGTTTATTTGAACTGACATAAGATATATGTATACAGTGGAAATAAGCTTGAGAAATTGTAGTGGTACTACAACACCACTCGTTTTGGGAACTAATTTTGATATTTACTTTCAAATGAAAATTTTCATTTTCAAATTAATTTTACATCTTATGTGAATTATGTATTATTAAAAAACATGGTTCCACTGTAGAAGAGTCAAATTGGAACTCTAAACGTATAGAAATCTATATATTAGGAGCATAGACTTCCATACGTTTAGAGTCCCAAACTCCCAACTTGACCATCTTCATCTGATAAAACACAAAATTTTTTGGAAAATACAAACATACAAAACAAAAATCACACACTTCAGTTAAAAAAATAGTTTACAGATTGAACATTGTAAGTAAATCATTGCGAATGTTATATTATTTCAAATTCAAATTTTTCTCTTTTATATGTTATATCGAATTTCATTAATAGAATACCGTCTTAAATATTTCATACCATTCTTGTAGTTTTATATATAACAAATAATATCTTGGTAATCTTGGTATCTTTGGTAATTTTTGTACTTCCTTTCATTATTTTTTGGGAAATTGAGAAATTTAAGAAATTGGATTTGGGTTATACAAAAACCACAGACTTCACTCCAAAAAATTGTTCACAGATTGAAAATTGTAAGTAAATTATTACGAATGTTTTATTATTTCAAATTTAATTTTTTCTCTTTCATGTGTTATATCGTATTTATTAATTTAATGGTATAAATATTTCATACCATTTTTACATATTTTTATACATAACGAATAATATCTTGGTAATTGTTGTAGATCCTTTCATTATTCTTTGGGAAATTGGGAAATTTGGGTTTGGGAAATACAAAAACCACCTACTTCACCCCAAAAAATTGTTTACAGATTGAAAATTGTAAGTAAGTTATTATAAAAAAAAATATATTGGCAAAGTTGGTACCTCCTTTTATTATTCTTAGGCATATGCACATATACTTTAAAATTTTCATTATTATGAAAAGGCCATTTTACTATATTTAATAAAATAGTTTATAGTTTGAAGATTATAAGTAAATGATTGCAAATGTTTTTCAAAATGTTTGTCTTTTAAATTAAACAGAAACGGGGAGCGTGTTTCCATACATAATAGGGCCCATCCTGGCATTTAAATGATTTATACACCATTTTATAGCTTATTTGAAAAAAAAAAATACTAATTTTCCCTAGCTCATCATTTGGATTTGAAAATATGAGAAAATTGTCCCTTTTTCAAACTCACTTTAAATATTACAATTTGTATTAGTTTCGACACTGTATGTGTGTTAGCATTCAGCTAAAATATAATGAAATAAAATATTGAATAAATACATTAACAACAAAATAATATATAAAAAAAACACATTTTACTCTTCATTTTGCTTTACATCCGAAAAATTTACAACGTTTTAAAATTTAGATTTAAGCACAATTTAGATTTATGTTATTTTAAGAAAAAAGCCATAATTATTTGTTTAAATATCGAAAAATGTATGTGACCTGAAAATTCACTTCTTCCCATAGAGGTTTAATAATGTATACCCACCACCAAGAATTTTTTTTTCAATATATAAAATTTACCTATATATTTATAGTATTTCAATTTTAGGCACTTCAATTAGAAATAAACAATTTTTTTAACAATGAAATTGTATTTCATTAATTATTATATTTTGAAGATATTCTTCTGGTAGGTACACATCATGGGAATGTGAGCTTTCAGGTCACGATTTTACCAAATAATTATGGCGTTTTTTTCAGATGATATAATTTTAAATTGAGCATAAATCTAAATTCTATAACGTTGTTAAGATAGCCAATATCAACATTTATGACCTTTTATAGGCTTTTCAAACCTTAAATAACTTATTCATGCAAACATTGTTATAGACTGCTGTGTCTTGAAATTCATATAATTCAAAGTACCAAAAAATTGGTTTAAACAGATTTTTTTGAACTTTATTTGCATATATAGAATTATAATTACAGACTTTTTGTTATCCTAATTATTTGAATGTAAAACAAAAATTCGGCCTATTAAGGATTAAATGTTTAATTAAAAAACGTTTATTTTTTTGTTTTTATATTTATTCAATGTTCTATATGCTTTTATTTTAGCTGATGACACACATTTAGTATGATGAATAATTATAGTGCTCATTTATTATTTTTATTCTATTCATTGACTATATATATATATATATATATATATATATATATATATATATATCAGGTTCCATCCATTCATCATCGGTAAAAGTTTTACCGATGTAGCTAAACATGTTCCATTAGTATCAATTGAAAAATGTTTATACAATCGTGCAGCACTGATTCAAGAAGAGCGATGTTTCAATAATTAGAAAGGTAATTACATACTAATTTTTATATAGGAGTTTATTGAAGCAAATTATTATGTTGTATCGTGAGTCAAGTACAGATACAGATAGAGTATCAACAGGCGAACAACTAGCCTGAGGTAGAAACAACTCAGGTTATCCAGTCCAATGTTATCTTTATCTTAATGTGAATCATTATAGTGTACCGAGATCAACTGGTGTTGTTGAATCGTTTTAATCATTGTGATCATTTGCCAATTATCTACTGAAGCTAAAGTAGATCAATTACGCCAACGAACACGCTATTTATGCTTCTACCATAGTCTTACCCGCAATTATTCGCAATAACGAATCTTCTCACCCGTGGAAAAATACTCGCTTTTAAAAAGTGTGGCTATATGATTTTGAAAAATACGAGCTGATATTAATTTAAATTTTATTATATATGCAGTGGGTATCCTGACATACGAGTGTTTCGAGATACGAGCCGCCAAAAGAGCGATTCGGTGCTTCGACATACGAGCAAAATTCGAGATACGAGCTTTAAACGAGTAAGAGTTTTTCGGGTTAAATTCGTTAAAAACTCGAAAAATAGCCTGATCAATATACTAAAAAATTTTTGGCTGAAAAATCTTAGTAGCTGGGATTTCGATAAAACTTAGAGTGTTCCTTATGAAGTTAGTAAAACGCTTTCATGTGGATGGCAAAATGAAAATACGAAAAATTTTATCAGTTGTAACAATGATTACATAGAAATATTTTTTCTGTTTTATTATAATATTTTTTATAGTTAGTCATTTCAATTATATATTAACATTAATTCTGTAGAAACGATTTACCTATGCAAATTAATTGAGGATTACTTTAAGGATTAAATTTTTATTTACACATTACTAGTGATTGCACATATGTTCGCGTTTTTTCCTTTTTGTACATTTACAAAATATAATTTATTTTATAACGGTCCAAAGAAAAATACTATGTCTCTTAAATTAATGCTTGAAATTATTGAAAAATATTAGGATGACGATGATGTACGAAAGAAACACATTATAGATATGTTTAAACAAACAGAGTTTATAAAGGATATAACTCTAGCTAAGAGTTTTACAATTATTTATAAACAGCTCTCTGATCTCTAAAATTTTGTGGATAAAAATCACTCCGAAAAAGTTGCAACCTTTCGAGCATGAGATTTTTTCAATAAATCATGTCTAACATATTTCCGCAATATCATGAATAGACAGGAAAAAAACAATTAAATAAATTAATGAACAGTAAATTTATTTTTAATACTCAAAAAAACTTAACAGAAACCGAAGTGCTGGAATGAATTAATAGCATTTCATTGTATTTATATGGAAGATATTGCTACAGAAGGGAGCTTTGAATGCTCCCTGGAGGCCTTTGAAATGTGAATCTATGAATAATAAGAAAAGTAAAATGTACAGGTGAAATTACAAATTACAAGATTAAAAGAGGAACATCTGTATTGATTCCCCTTAATATTTTTCGACAAAGAAATAATTATTGGCTTAAAAAAATTAACCAAGAATTAGAAGCATAATTTAAAATGATACTAAAGTTCCAAATTATTATTGGTGCTTGAATATAAAATGCTCTAAATATACATTTACTTGTACATAAATGTAGATATAAATATGTAATAATAGTATATGATTATAATTATAAAATGTAATAATGTTTAAGTATCAATTTTATATATTGAAATATATCTCTTTTGAATTGAAACAAATTGTATTGGTAAATGACTCAATATAGGTCAACTATGAGTAATAGTAATATAAATAATATAATATAATAAGTAGTAATATAAATAATATATGTATAGAACAAAAAAATAAATTAAAAAAAATTTTTACTTCTTTTCAATTTTAAACCCGAGAACAGCATAAATTGAAAGTATTTTTTATAAATTTATTATCATTATTCCAGAATAGTTGTGGCAAATTTTTAAGTAGAACTTTTTACGTAGCTCTTACTGGTTACTTGTCGGAATAGAATATGTGCGATATTTAGATGTTTAAATGCAAATTGCAGATAGGTTTAAGCAACTTTTCAAACCATTTCATAAATTCACGAAGAAACCATATAAAATATTATACATCGTTAGATACGTCTCTAAACTCTTAGTTTTTCTTCCAATTATCGCAACTTCGTATTAGAAACAGTTTGGACGAGTTAGACTGCTTAAATTTATAGACAACTGGAAAATCTTAAGACCACGTATATCGGAGTATTTTATTCTCTTTCGGCCGAACAAGCTGTTTAGGGAGCGTCCATTAATCATGTGATCGCATTTTTAAGGATTTTTAAGGGTTTACTCCCCCTTGGTGATATTCAAAATTACCCCCGCTCCCTGACCAAACATCACGTGTATTTTTAGTTACGAGAAAAAATTGTAATATTTTTTTGCAAAAGTTTGATTTAAAAAAAATTGGTAAAAAATAAATACACATAATATCTTACTATACCCCTCCCTCCCCCACGTGATATTTCGTGATTTTTTGTCAAACCCCTCCTCACCCTAAAAACCTCACGTGATTAATGGACGCCCCCTTACGTAGTTCTTACCACATCTGCATGCACTTGGCTTCACAAAGTAATTCCAAAATTAACCAATTCTGACTACTATTTATACAAAACTATCTACTCACCTTTGGATGATACTATTCCCTCAAACGGTTGCGAAAACGTGAGATGTACGTCCATGTGGTCTTTGCCGCACATCACTTCCAGAGACTGGATAGTTGGCATTGTGTCTGGACGCTCCAGAGGCCAAATGTCACCGGCACATTGGACAACGTCTCGCCTCGTCTGGGAATCAAAATGGTTTACTTTAATACAGAGACCAATTAGGTGATAATAGATTAGGAAATAAAAATATCAGTCACTTGTTAGTAATGGAAATAGAGGTGCTAATATTAGGAGCCATATTCAAAAGTGAAACTAATGACTTCACAATGACAAAAATCTCAGATATGCAGGTGATGCAAATAAGTACTAAATATTTGATTTATTACGAATCAATATTACCAAGCATAGACAAACATATTATACAAGACTTATTACAAAAATATTAGATTAAATATTTCTACCCCCGAAAAAAAAAATTCTGGAAAAAAGTTTGTTTATTCACACCCAACATCAGCTATCTTATCATTTAACTATTATACGCAGTCATTTTTAGATTTGATATTACATTTTTCAAATATGTGACAACGGTTCGCATTCGAGCAACCTGCTGTCATGTAGTAGTGACAACGGTTTTCACTTTTTTTCTAAATTTTATTTTTATTCTGCAATCTATAAAAATAATTACATGTAGCAGAGAATGCTGGCAAGTTGTTTACAATTAATTGTCTACAAATTAGTAGATACCCTCAGTGGCGTATCTACTAAAGCTAAAAAAAAACTAAAGACAAATGGGGAGAAACTATAAATAAACTATAATATTAGATATCCATGTATTTTTTTGAGCCTGGTCGGCTGGCCTTTCTAGTATAAATGACTTGCTAGTTGGTTAGGATAAACGTCAATTCTGTTCTTATAATTAATAGCAACCATTATTATATGTTCTTGAATTGTAGGAATGTCCGTTCCTTTGTGGAGGATCCACGTTGGCGTGTAGTGAGGAGCGTTTAATATTTGCCGCAGGAATTTGTTTTGTGCTCGTTGTATTATGTTTAAATTGCTCTTTTTAGCAGTACCCCAAAAAGTTGTATTCCGTAGGTCCACACGGATTTGATTTTTTGTTTTTTGGTATGCATATATTATTGTCGTTTATATATGTTTCTAAGTGAAAATAGAACTAATACAGCATTGCTGCACCAATAAAAAAGTCATCACTATTACAATATTTGTAATAATAAAAAATCATCGCATAGAGATGGGACAACTGTTTAGCTTGCCATTTATAAAAATCAAACGTAATGGTTAAGAAATTCATCACAACAGATCATAAAACCCTTAAGTTCTAGTCGTTGTTTAAATAAGTATATAAAAAATATTAATCTTTCTGGTTATATTTCCCATTGTTACCACAGAAAAGCTAAGTATGCCGTTCAAGTCAGAGATAAATTAACCCATGTACGTGAAAAGATGTACTAACCGAACTGGTTCGCAAAACTTCAGTCCAGCAATTTAGATGTCAAAGATGCATCAGGTTCTGGAACGCTGGTTGATGCAAACCGACTTCTTAATACGATTATCATTAGATGAATATAGATAATAATTAACAAATCACATACAAAATAAACATGATGAGGATATTAAAACGGCAGCATATTCTTGATAAGAAGGAAATAATATGAATTTTTGATAAAATTTCTTTTTGGAAAAATTGAGAACTCTTCGCAATAACTAAATAATTCGTAAATTTTTTGCAAATGTTATATCACATATATAGAATGAATATTATAAGTAAGTTTTAAAGATCTTTACGTATTGGTTTAGAATGAAAAAGTCACTAAAAACTCATGTATGCGACTACAATAATTTTACAAAATCTAAAGCTTATGTAGAATACTCATTTGCAATTATCTAGTATACTTAAGATACTTTACTTTGATAACTCTGAAAATTTTTAATTTGTAATATTTGAGAAAACTCAAAATTTAAAATATATTATAATGAAAAAAATTGATATAGTACCTTCTAATATGCTAAAATACTACTTCAAAAAAACTGTTTTATTTGATAAACTACTCAGAAAATAAACATATTTAAAAACAATATAACAAAATAATATATCTCATAAGTATATTATTTTTAATATATAAGAAACACTATTTAATACAAAATAATTTTTGAGCCACAAATATTATGATTAGTTATCAAAAATTCATAATATAGAAAAATATTTTTTAAATATGTAAAAAAAATCTGCGTCACACATTAAATTTTAAGATAATTATAAATGAACAATATCGATACAATTTTTTTATAATAACGTTTCTTTCTATTATAATGAACACTTCATTTCGTGTGTTATACAAAACGATTGTAATGGTGCGTTTGTTATATTTTTTATTACAACACCAAGTCAATTATTGAACAAATGAGATATTCCTATATGGAAATCTTTAATAGTGATAATATAAATTTTTAATGATCGAACTTATTGTTTGTTGACAGCTTTTAAATAAAATCAACGCATTCAATTTTTAGATAAACGGTTTAATAATAGCTTAATATCTGTTTCATTTTATACTGAAATAAATATGGCAAAAAGCGTTAATACAATTACCAAAAAGTTATAAGATTAATATAATCAAATATTTTATGGTCAGCAACTAAATATTATTATTATGTATTTGACGTTTTATAAAGAGATATCATAAAAATTTTAATGATCGTTTAATATTTAAGGTTCATTTTAATGGATATCAGGAAGCAATACGACGAATGCGCTGATATAATTTTTATATTATGGCCCGCACATTAATTTTAATGATCCAAATCTTACATCGCATTAATTTAACTTTTAATTACTGTTAATTATATCGGTAAATATATTTAGAAAATTATATCATACTTTTCATATAATTAAATAATTTCATATTCAATATAGTCGTATAGAAATATTCAGCAATATAATTCAGTTAAACAAATTCATCCGTCGAGAACTGCATTTGCATCTAGCTTTTATGACTCTGAAATTATCTAAAATTACATTAATTTTAGGTCGGTAAACTAACCTATGATCATGCAAATTTATAGATATATAAATGTAGTTTTGAATAATTATTTGTTACTTATTAGCATAAACATTTATTAATAATATATACTTATATTTAGACAATACAATGCAAGCCTTTTATCCTACACAATCATCTACACAGGCTTAATTATAGATCACAACTTCTGAATTATAGTTTGAAAAATAATCCTAGGAAAATCAACATCAATTTCCAATTCAAACTAAGTTATTCAACGCCTTCAGTAAATGTATCAACCAGTGCTTTCAACAACTTTATAGAAGAAAATTTATAACAATCATTTGAAAATTACATTTTCTGACCGTTTCTTAAGGCAAATTCCTGAAACTTGAAATTAGAACAATTTCAAAATTTGAAACTTGAAAATTGAATTGATCAATATAAAAAACAACTATTTTAAATATTTTTAAATAAATTATTATGAATACTGTAAATATTTAAGTGCTTATTAAACTGAACAACGAGCGTATATTACAAACAACTTTATATGGATGTTTACAAGAAATGTAAGCATATTTGTATAAAAAATCCTAATCAAATGGACAAAGTTTTCTGCTAATTCTAAAAGCTTGGCTTTGTCCTTATCGAATTTCATAGAATGCTGATAAATTTTTGAAATCCGTTCGGCCATTTTTGAGAAAACATAGGAAAAAGTCAAATTTGGGGTCACATATATACACACACACACTTTCCAATGTTGGTAGAAGTACAAATCGGATTTTCTGGCATATGATAAAATAAAAAAAAATAGTGGTGCATGGCATCGTGCCTTAAAACAAATTGCTGGAACTCCTCGTACCAAATATTAAATTTTTTAAGAAAGATTTAGTTTTCTTTCAGAACTCTGAAAAATCTATTTTTTAGATTTTTCAAGTTTTTGAAAAAAATTGACATTTCTGAAAAAATCGCGATACGTTAGCTGCGTAGAAACTAAATATCGAAGCGCGAGAGCGCCGCGTCACAGTATAACGGATAAGCATTGGTACGGAATCCATAGAAAGTTATTAATAAAATATGTGATAATTTGATGTGCATATGTCTAATGATCATTTACTTTTTTTTATTGGATCTCCAAAACCGCTAGACCTGCCTTCACAAAAATTTAATCAGTTCCTCATCACCAAAAACTAATCAGCACGTCTACTTATCGATATGAATCGAATATTTTTTGATTTATGCAAATTGGTTGAACCGTGTTTCCGAAATTGTCGACGAAAATTTGTATCCGCCCACGCACACGAACACACACACACACACATACATCCATTTCTTCTAAGGTATCCCAAAATGTTCAAAAAAACCTTTATGAAAATTAAAATTAAAGATATATAAAAATTTTCATTTTCGATGTTTTTGCGATTACTATACCTTACCCTAAGGAAAGTTAATAATTATGCAATAAAAAATAAAAGCTGAATATCACATCCAGAAAATCAATTTAAGTTCTATTGAAAAAATAGCTACACTTATAGTTATAATCAAATTTAAGCACTTAATACTCCAAATACTAAAATTGTCATGGTTATTATTTAAATAGATGATCTATTTCTTATGTAACAAATTATGATTATTATTTTTCTCATCAGAGCTATGAAATTCTTTAAGTAGTAAGATTAATTATCATTTTCAAAAACCAACAATGTCATACGATAATATCAATGGACAAACTCTACGTCTATTAGAAATATACAGAATACCATAATTAACTTATTGTAAATCCTCAGAACAGGTTCGTGGTGAACTATAAGATAATTGCAACTTATACTACCTATTAGATGCTTAAAATATACGTTGAAAGTTCGTAAATATAATATCTTCACAAGTAATAATTAATACGGATCATGTCAGCAGTAAACGTGTCAAATATACCGCTTGTCAATAAAACGAATGTGTATAGAGGTATGTTAATCATTTGGTCGTAAACGTCGAACATTTTCAAGTTTATTATAAGATATTACATTGAGCTATGTATACAGTTCCAGGAAAGACAATCTTGACTTTCATCACGCCAGAATTTTCCAAACACCTGGGATTTAAACATTATTTTATCAATGTTGATCGAATCCTGTTGTTTGAGGATTGGATATATTTAATTCG